CACAATGTTTACCAGAGGTAAGCCGAGATAACACTTAAGACTAGGCAAGCTCTACCGGGATCAACACTGGAAGACGAACTTCTCTAATTCGAGATTACTTGCGAGCGTTGATGATCTTAACGAAATCGGGCTTGAGCGAAGCACCCCCAACTAAGAAACCATCGATGTCAGGCTTCTTCCCCAAATCTCTGCAGTTTTCGGCAGTAACAGATCCTGAACTTCAATAAACTTCAAGCGAACGTGAAACTGAAAACCAATGCTTAAAAGGGAGAATGTATTGAAATCGAACCTCCGTAAATAATACGGGTCTTCTCAGCAACATCAGGAGAGACCTTTTCCTTCAAGAACTCGCGAATCCATAGATGAACCTAATGATGAGAAAACCCTATTATCGACCAGTTGGCTACTTTGCGAATGACGGAAAACAACATGAATTTACAAAATGACTTTACACACCTCTTGTGCCTGCTCAGGAGTGGCGGTTTTTCCTGTGCCAATAGCCCATACAGGCTCATAAGCGATAACTATGTTTGTCCAATCAACTTTTTTGTCAACTAGAGCTTGCATCTGGCGGAAGTTCACCTGGAAAATTGCTTCATAACCCTGTTGCAAAACGAAGAGTGAAGCTCGACAAATACAACTCACCTCCTTTGTTTTACCAGCTTCCCGTTCCTCTAGTTTTTCACCAATGCAGAAAATGACGTTAATATGGTTTTCGAGGCAATGAACGACCTTTTCCGCAATGAGCTAAATAGTATGATGATTAGTACTCAGGCTACACTGGTCTTCTTACTACCGAATCAGAGAACAAAATGACAATTTCCTTCCAAGGACTCAAGAGTGACAGCCCCCACAGAGAGAACAAAAGGAATAAAAACACTGGTGTAACACTGCTTAATTTGGTACAACGAATAAAGGAGACCTGTCCGTTTTCTAAAGACTCGGAAGAAAAGTTGGGTGAAAGAACTAAGCAGGAACAAAATAAGCAGAGAAAGTTGGATAGCAAACCTGATCTGATTCTCCGAAAATATGACGTCTCTCTGAGTGCCCAAGGATTACCCATTCGATTCCCAAGTCCTTGAGCATAGCAGGAGAAACTTCACCCGTGAATGCTCCTTTTGGTACCTAAAAAACAATATAACGACAACAAAAAATGTGTTGAACTGGGAGGTCCCTTGATGACCTAATCAGATATACACAAATTTGATATACTAACATTAGATTGAGGGATCAATTCTTTTTTCTTTTCTAGATTTCTTTGAAAACTGTAATGCGCATCCCTCCGACGATAATATAAGGTTTACATGTGAAAGGCATTTATGGCTTCAACGGGTCAAAACTATCGGTGAGGTATGGCCATGAGGTTCCTAAAAAGCTAAAACTCGACAATTAACTACATCCACACATGCGCTGCCTTTGAAGAAGACATTTTGTTTCCATAGACGCATGCCGTTGATTTAAGGCAATGACTAAAAAGGTGAAACTATTAACGACTGTAGTACCTTATAGCAGTTTTGTGCTGAAACCTTGACGGAATTTTTCAGTTGGTCTTTGACATACGTCAGGTACAGAGCCGGTGGCGCGACGATGACTTCAACATCAGGTACTCCTGAAAAAAATGCGAATACTAAATCGGAATTAGGCGGGAGAGTGGGAGTACTTTCTCTTCAGATTCTGGAATGGAAGGCTTCCCATACACCTACCGATATTAAAAATGCAGACTTAATCAGCTCAAACATCCGCTGTCAAACACCGAACGTAATATGATATCTATTTTAAAATAAAAATAGCTGGGATGAGTAACATCCTCTAACCATTTCTGAGTGATGCAATCACGATGTATCACACCTGCGATCGTCCTTCCCATCAAAGATAAGGTGGAGATTTAGGGGTGAGTGGTTGCACAGTAGACCTCATTAAGAGTGTACCAGACTACAAAACCTTCGTCAGCAGCACTCTCGCCAACCGACAAGGATGGAGAAGCTTACAAATCCATTAGGCTATCTGAAGCTTCCTCCTCGTGACTGTGTCCCGAATCCTTATCATCGTACCATTCCTGATTTCAGTATCCGAAGGGACGTAGTTGTAAAAA